CAATGTTATATGCCCCGGTTATGCACAGTATATATGTGACTGTACGAGATGAAATGAAAATAAAACATATTTACCCTCGGAAGGATGGAAGGCTGAGTCAACCTTGAGCCTGTGAGATTTGAACCGCCGAACTGCAGCTAGCAGTTCAGCTGAAGTGGCCTGCAGTACTGCACTCTACCCACTGCGCCACCTCGGCTCAATTAAAAAGTGGTCCTCTGGGCTTAAGATGAGAGAGAGGGATATTTGGAAATAATTGTACTGTGCCTAGTCAAAAATCAAATCCTCTGTTACGTATGTAAGTTTCAAGGGTTCTGGAAGCCCCCTTGGCTTATTTCTTTATTTTATTTGTATCCCACCTTTGTTATTTTTTTATAAACAACCCAAGGCAGTAAACATATTTAGTGCTTCTTCCTTCTCCTATTTTTTCCCACACAACTCTTTAATGTGAGTTGGGCTGAGAGAGGGTGACTGGCCCGAAGTCATCCAGGCGGCTTTCATGCCTCAGGTGGGACTAAAACTCACGATCTCCTAGTGATTGGCCCGAAGTTACCTGGCTTGTTTTCATGACTAAGGCCGGACTTGAACTGACAGTCTCAAGGTTTCTAGGTTGGTGCCTTAACCGCTAGACCAAACTGACTCTCAAACTGGTTACCTGGTTCTTATTCTGGGTTGTGTCTCTATCTCCCTTGCAGGGACTTAAAGCCCGAGAACATTCTCCTGGATGATGATGGTGAGTGCCATGTGTCACATGTTTGATTTGTTCCTGTTGTACACTTTCAGAATCACTTTTACCTACAAATGTCTGAGATCACAGCCAGATCTTGCTTCATTCAAATCATCTTCCACCGCTGAACAACACAAGCACATTTTTGTGCAGATTAGAACTTGGGCCACTTCTGTCTTAACTTAAAGTTATGTTCATCGTGAAAGATCACAGGATCCCCATCGTAATTTCATATCCTCTATAATCACCCTTCTCCCTTCTTCTGTCTAGGGCACATTCGGATCTCAGATCTGGGGCTGGCCATCAAGATCCCCGAAGGTGACACCATCCGTGGCCGTGTAGGAACTGTGGGCTATATGGGTATGTGTTGGAGAACTGCTCCAGATCTTGTTTGATTGCTGACTCAAGAGAAAACTGGCTCCATCCATGGATCTTCTTTTTGGATTTATCTGACCACACAAGCTGAGAGGGCATGATACTTTGAAACAGGGGCAGAGAAGCTATTTTAGACTGAAAATCAAATTTCTACCATTACAGTTAGTCCTTCAACTGCAGCCACAATCGGGACCAGAATTTCTGTTGCTAAATAAGGCAGTTGTTAAGCTCATCATGCCCAATTTTGTAAACTTTTTTGCCATGGCTGTTAAGCGAATCCCTGCGGTTGGTGAGCGAATTTTGTGGCCGTTAAGCAAATCCAGCTTCTCCCATTAACTTTGCTTGTCCGAAGCTGACTGGGAAGTGTCCAAATTTTGATCATGTGATTCTGAGGATGCTACAACAATTATAACTGTGAGGACCGGTGGTAAGTCACCTTTTTCAGTGCTGTTCTAACTCTGAGCCATGATGGTGCAGTGGTTAGAATGCAGCATTGCAGGCTAATTCTGCTGACTGCCAGCAGTTCAGTTTTCACCGGCTCAAGGTTGACTCAGCCTTCCAACCTTCCTAGGTCAGTAAAATGAGGACCCAGATTGTTGGGCAATAGGCTGACTCTGTAAACTGCTTAGAGAGGGACTGGAAAGTACTGTGAAGTGATACATAAGTGTAAGTGCTACTGCTATTTGAGTGGTTGCTAAATGAATGGTTGTAAGTCAAGGACTGCCTGTATTGTCATTGCTGATTCTGTTGTTATGCATGTATAGCCCATTTGTAAGTAAAATAAGGAGTCCAACAAAAAAAAAATATCAATCCAGAAATGGTTCGTTACTGCCTCCTTTTATCACTTTTCCAAGGTAGACTACAAACCTAGACATTCTCTCATCCAGGAACTAACCAGGTCCAACATTTTATCACTTTTTCAACTAGTCAGAAGTGCTGCTACTTGCTAAAAAGCAACACATTTCTTTCACCTTATAAGGGGGAGAAGTCCTTACCCATTGGATTTGCATGATCCTATGATAAGTAATGGTTCTCCAAGATGCAAAACAAGAGAAGAATCTTTCTCATAATTTGCCACCCGATCGAGTGCTTTACATGAAATTGTTTTCTCTAACTCTGCTTTTTCCACCTTTCTTCTCCTCTCCCCAGCTCCTGAAGTAATTAACAATGAGCGCTACTCCTTCAGCCCAGACTGGTGGGGGCTTGGCTGCCTCATCTATGAGATGATCGAGGGCCAGTCACCATTCCGGGCCCGCAAGGAACGAGTGAAGAGGGAAGAGGTAGAAAAGAGGGTTCAGGAGGACCACGAAAAGTATTCAGACAAGTTCTCTGAAGATGCCCAAGCTATCTGCAAGTTGGTGAGTGATGGGAAAAAGGAGAAAGCCAGAAGATAAGGAGGAATCTTTGCCATAAGTCTGTAGTATCAGATGACAATTCCTACATTCCCTGAGTTGAGGTCAGCTCAGGGTCGACAACAGGAACCTCTTTTGGCACTATGAAGAAGTAGTTCGCCATTGTCTTCTGCTGGGATATTGTTTCAGCTTCTCAACTGAACTTCCCTTTGGTTTGTCAAGCAAGGATCAGCCAAGATCGGCCAGGCTAATCTGCTTCGCCGGGCATAATTAAATTGTGCCCATGTGTCAGTGGTGGGATTCAAATAATTTAACAACTGGTTCTCTGCCCTAATGACCATCTGGGTAGGTGTGGCTTGGTGGTCATGTGACTGGGTGGGCTTGGCCAACTCAAGGTCACTCAGGTCGATGGGCGCTTCGCCTTAGCTGTTACAATGTAATTAGGGTTAACTGAAGAGGCAGTTTCTATAAGCAGGGCAATAAAGATCAGGCTAGAAACAACAGCAGAATGTTTCCTTCCTGCCTTCCTTACAGATTAGCCTGTAAAG